AAGATTTCATAGTAACGGTATGCAAATCACGGACTGATTAAACTGATAGACTAGAGGGAAGGCAGCTAGTCAGGAACATTCACCACAAACTCTTCGACTAATGTAATCAAAATGGTGGGATTTGACCATCACTCTTATAACACACCTATAGCTGAAAAGTGCTGAGAAAGATTTCATGGTAATGATATGCAAATCACAGACTGATTGAAATGACAGACTAGAGGGAAGGCAGCTAGTCAAGAACATTCACCACAAACTCTTGGATTAATGTAATCAAAGGGTGGGATTTGACCATCACTCTTATAACACACCTATAGCTGAAAAGTGCTGAGAAAGATTTCATGGTAACGGTATGCAAATCACGGACTGATTGAACTGATAGACTAGAGGGAAGGCAGCTAGTCAAGAACATTCACCACAAACTCTTGGATTAATGTAATCAAAGGGTGGGATTTGACCATCACTCTTATAACACACCTATAGCTGAAAAGTGCTGAGAAAGATTTCATGGTAACGGTATGCAAATCACGGACCATCAGATTTCCAGCCTGGCATGCTAACTACTATGCCCCCCCCCCCCCTCAGCAATTAATTATTAATTTTTCTGGGAGTAAATTTTGTTTGCGAATGAATTCAGAAAATCACAAGTTAGTATAAGTGTAAGAATCCACACCTTGACACTGTGTAATTTGTTACTCATATTTATCTTGTGGCCAACAGAATGTTTTATAGAAAAAGTTCCATATAATGAAACTGTCTGTTCAACTGCTTTTTACAGAAAAAAAAGAGAAATCGGACTTATCTTATTTTTAGTTGACGTTCTATATTACCATGATAATAAAACACTAAAACAACAGTTTGAGTAAAGGTACAACAGCACAAACGGAGACAATGAACAACTAAATCAAGTGCCAAATCTCGAGGGAACAGTTTTAATAAAGCTTAAATGGAATTATTGTTTCAAGTGTACTACTGGCTCGAGAAAGAAAAACGGTTCAAGTTTTATTATTTTAAGACTTCCCTCAAAGTTGCATCTTTTGTATTTTTTAACATTCTATCTTAGTAAGAGCTTCGTATTAGTAATTGGTGTGAATAATCTGGAATGCATTATAGAATGAATGGAATTATAAAATTAAGAATATTTTAATTGGCTACCAAATTGCAAAACCTTGGAGCAGGATTACCTTAAGGATATTGTTTAACGCTGGGCCTTGTAAACAGTAAAATATCAAAAATGGATGTTTTAGTTACGTTTAAGATATTGTGTAGAATACTTTTATAGTTACTTTCTAGGGGTTCTAGGGTGAATATCACCCTCAGAGAGTTATACCCTCACCCCCACATCTATTTTTACGGTGCATGATGTCATAACCAGAAATTCATTGTCCTTATTAAATCAACCTATTAATTGTACACATCCTTACCATTAGGACATTGGGTTTCGCCTCGGAATATGGACCTCATGGTCCTTCTGTAACATAGTGGTGTAGTGGATACACTAAACCATTCAAGTCCAGTATATCTTATCTAGATATCACAACAACTTATTTTATTCCACAAATATTTTGAATTGATTAATTATTGAAATAACTTTGGGGTGGGGGCATTTCAAAATATCAAAATCAATGAAGAGAAACTGCTTGTACTTTATAGATATTTGGATACAAGTAACCCTTATCCCCAGTATTAATTTTACAAATTCTTATTTAGAAAAATAATACCACAAAGTTGCTATTTTTATATTTATCAGGATATACGTATATATATCACAGTTGGTCTGTAAATTGATTATTTTTTAATTTAACATATTATCCCATGTTAACTTTGGCTTCTTTTATGAGTTCCATTATTGTTATTATAATGTTTTATATCATAAAGTTTCATTAGTTTTTTTCTTGGCCTAGATAAAGAATGGTGAGTGGACAGAAGCTACTGCAGGAGGATGTGGAAACCACCCTCTTACGTACCAGATTAATCCTGTATATCAGATTTCTCTACAGTCTGCTTCTGATGAAAACCAACTCCTCGTAGATCTGAAGGGTCCAAAGTATGTCCTTATAAAATATGGTCAAGCCAGTCTATTATGTAATACCACAAAGTTAACACGAGATTAATTAAAGCTTTGGTCCTACTCGAAAAATTTCCTTCGATTTACAGAAAAAAATCCATTAAAAAACTTATTTTATGATTCACAGAATAAAAAATATGATGTAAAATCAAACAATAAACCTTAATATCTTTAAAAAAAAAAGTAAAACATAAAGTTATCATAGCATATTTATTCATGATTTGTACATCAAATAGTTATTTTTTGTTTTATGTTATATGTGATAGGATAATTGAGTTTTTGTGACCGATGAAAACGTAATTCTTTCAACAGTAATGCATTTGTTCAAAATTTGCTGTAACATATTCAAATATGAAGCCATTGTTGAGTTATGTTGGGTGTGACAGACAAATACAACAATAGTTTCAGGCTGAAAAACAGGAATCTTTATCTTAAGATTTATTTTATAGTGACAGTTCGAGTTTATGTTTGAATATCTTTGTGCATGACTGTAAAAGAAACATTGAGCTTAAGTTTCAGAAAACTGAGTTAGAGTATGCAACACGAAACCTGATCGTCTGCTTTACTATGTCACTCAGACTTGCACATTACTATATCATAGAAGTTGAGTTATATTCTGTGATGTTAGATATATTCACACTTGATACATTACATGTGAAAAGCTACACATTTTACAAACTGACATAAATCAGTGTTTAAACACCGATATTGTCACACGAACCACTGTGTACAACTGACACATGAACTGTTGTGTACAGCTGACACATGAACTGTTGTGTACAGCTGACACATGAACCGTTGTGTACAGCTGACACATGAACCGTTGTGTACAGCTGACACATGAACCGTTGTGTACAACTGACACATAAACCGTTGTGTACAGCTGTGTAGGCAGTATGCTGTAGGGTTTGACGTAGTAACAGAACGAACGTGTATCTATTTTATATGTAGGCAGTATGCTGTAGGGTTTGACGTAGTAACAGAACGAACGTGTATCTATTTTATATGTAGGCAGTATGCTGTAGGGTTTGACGTAGTAACAGAACGAACGTGTATCTATTTTATATGTAGGCAGTATGCTGTAGGGTTTGACGTAGTAA